GGCTGGAATCCTGAGCCAGCAGCTCCGGTTAGGAAATTCATAAAGAAAGAGAAACTCTTGTAGCCAGGCCCACGGTGAGAGACGAGTTAGGTCATGTCTCTTTCTGTTCAATCGGATATTAGTCCCGACCCTGATGTCACCTTCAAGCTATTAAACATCACCCTCAGAAATGAGCGTGCGTTGCTCACAAGGCTCTTATCAGGCATGCTTCTCAGCTTGCTGTGGTCAGGGGCCAGGCGGTGATGCTGCTTCTTTGCCAATTGCAGGTCAAAGGGGAGAAGTTCGTTTAGACTTCAGACAGGACTCTGGGCTGGGAGTGGGGGGAGAGAGTGACAGAGAATCTCGGTCCCTTGGCCAGAATCAGAGATCGTTCCCTTGGGCCACAGAAACAGGGTAGGTGGCCAGTGTCCCTCTTTTGGGGCGTGGCATGCCGGACCTGGTGGGCGCAAAAGACCTGGACTGCATCAAACCAGCCCGTCTAACCCGCTTCTGGACCACAGCATCCCCTACGTCACGGGCCGTGTGGCCAGCAATGGGCACTCATGAGCTGAGAAGCCAGGCGATGCCTCTAGTTGAACAATTCCCTCTTCCAGCCATCTGTCTATGTATTCATGCACTCACTTGTCCATCCAAGCAGTGACTGTCTATTGAGCATATATTATGTGCTGGACATCATGCTGGCAGCTGGAAGTAAAACGGTCAGAGAAGCACATCCCCTTTTCCTCCCTCCGGCTTGGAGATCAGACCACAAATGTACATGCACAGAGCAAAGACAAGAATTATAAGTCGTGGCAATAGACATCAAGGAAGAAACACAGGTGAGAAGACAGAGACAAAAGGGTAGTCGTGGTCCGGGGATGATGTGGCAGTAGAGAAGGGTGTCAAGATATTTTTGAAGGTGTCTCAGGGTTTACAGCAAAGGGAACTGAGAGGGTGCGACCAGTGAGGGAAGGACCACGGGGACAGCCCAGAGCTGGAGACAACGCGATTGGCAATGGCTGCGTTGGTAATTATAAGGGATTACCTGGCACAGGGGCCTCTGCCTGGCTGGAGAATATACAGCTTTCAAGGGAAGGAAAGAGAGCCGCCCACCATGAGCTCTCCTGGTTACTGGAACTGTGGTGCTTTTGGGGTACAGATAGGAAAGCGCGAATCCCTGCCTGACACCCGTTGTTTTCTTTGCATAGAAGAGCCATCAGAAATGCAGGCATCCCAGGGCGCCTGGGTGGCTCAGTCCTTAAGCGTCTGCCTTCGGCTCAGGTCATGATCCCAGGGTCCTGGGATCGAGCCCCGCATCGGGCTCCCTGTTTGGCGGGAAGCCTGCTTCTCCCTCTCCCACTCCCCCTGCTTGTGTTCCTGCTCTCGCTGTGTCTCTGTCTGTGAAATAAATAAATAAAATCTTAAAAAAAAAAAAAGAAGAAATGCAGGCATCCCTCCCAGGCCCCCGGCCCAGGCAGGTGGATTTCTGAAGCCCTGAGCCCCACCGAGGCCCTTTCCCCGGGGAAATGGATCCCCTACTCACTTCACTTCCTCTCTGCCTCTCTCTGAAGGGCAACTAAACACTTGCTTGTCCTTGATGCTCTGCTCTCTCAAGGATGGAGAAACCCATTCCTGAGAAGTTACTGTATGGGAGTTCTTGCTGTTTGGATTCCTACCAAGCCATCATCTCTGTCACAGTCGCTGGTTCACATCGGGGAGTCACCAGTGGGTGGCCTTGCTTCTCTTGTCCAGCTTTGTACCCAAGACAAAGCAGAGGATTTTTACTCACTTGAGGAGCGGCGGGTCCCAGCTACTGTTTGCTGGTCAATCAAATGGCAAAGCCGAAGTGTGGGAGGAACGCAGGGAGTGTTCCAAAGAAACCAGAAAACCCTTGATTGATGTGTGCATGCACCTCTAATTTCTCCATGAGACTCCCCTCAACAGACTTCTTAACTGTGTTCGTTGGGGAAATTTAAATTCTCACATGGAAAGAGACTTTTTTTCCTATTGATTTTAGAAATCAATGTTAATGCTGCTGCCTGATGTTGAAAATTAGTAGGGCCATATATATATATACATTAAAATGTGCTCTGTGTTCCTTTCTGGTAGTCCCTTTAAGTGCTCCTAGATGCCTAAGTCCTTGGAAGGGAATGAACAAGGAATAAAGGAGAGAAATCACACATGGGGCCAGCGTGTATATACAGAAGGGTGAGTGGTTTGCTGTCGCGGGAGCACAGAGTTTGTGGCAGGGGTGATGGGACGAGGTGGTAGAGGCAGGCAGGGGCCAGGGCATGGGAACCTTGGACGCCTGTGAAGAGTTTTGAACTTTATTTTGTTGATGATGGGACACCATTGATAGATTTTGAATCTGGGGTGACAAAGTTGGATTTTGTGTGTGTGTGTGTGTGTGTGTGTGTGTGTGTGTGTGTGTGTGTGTGATTGTTCTACAGGATGGACTTTGAGGAGTCTCAGATCAGAAGGAGGAGAGCTACTAGAGGCTTTCATTCAAGTGAAAGATGTTGACAGCCTGGACAAAGGCAACGGTGGCGGGCAGACAAAGAACGCAGTGGGAATGAGGAATACCTACACAGGAAGTGAAATGAGCAAGACCCAGTAATTGATCGGCTCTGCAAAGCAAAGTGGTATCAACAATGTGTCCTAGGTCTCCAGTATGTGTGAATGGGTAGGTTGTGGTGTCACCGACTAAAATGGAGGCTTCAGAATACAGAATATGGAGTTCAGAATATCGGGGTAATGGAGATTTTCCCTTAAATATTTTGAGTTTGAGATGTCTGTATTTACCCAGGTGGTATGAGCAGTAGGGAGTGGAATATGGAAACTTAAGCTCCCAGATCCCGGTAGGGGAGTGTTGGCCTGGTGCCAGAATGCCTGGATTCAAATCCTAACTTTATCACTCGTGGTCAGTGTTCACAAGGTGGTGTGGAAGTAACAAATGATCCTCATATCTAATGGCTTACAACAAACATTTCTGTCCCCACTGACATATGAAGGTTTGGCTTTGACTCTGTTCCACGTGTTACTCATTCTGGATCCCGGGCTCATGGTGGAATCCCCATTCCAGGCTTGTGCAGAGGGAAAAGAGCAATGGCAGGGACACAAGGACTCTAAAACCTCCGCTAGCCCAGGCACCTGGCCCTTCTGTTCACATTCTATTGGCCAAAGCCAACCACACAGACAAGCCTGGGGTCAATGAAGTGGGGAAGTACACTCCTCCCGTGGGAGGTACAGCAGATGACAACGATCGGGGAGGTACAGCAGATGACAACGATCGGGGAGCCATATTACCCTACTGGAGAAGGGAGGAAATAATTGGGCCCAATCATATGCTCTACCACAACCACTAACCAGCTATAAAACCTTGGTGGTTTACTCAACTTCTCCCTGCTTTGGTCACGTCATCAGTAAAACAGGAATACTGCTACTACCTCTTGGGATGGCTACATAAAGTACTTAGAATAGTGCCCAACACAGTACAGAGTAAACGCTATATAAATGTAGGTGGATGGAAGGGAGGAGGGAATGGGGAGCTCTTTCTCCATGGGTATAGAGTTTCAGTTTGGGAAGATGAAAAAGTTCCGGAGACGGATAGTGACAATGGTTGTACAACAGTGGGACAGTACTTAACGACACAGAAGTGTATGTCTAAAAATGGTTAAAATTGGGGCGCCTGGGTGGCTCAGTCGGTTGGGCGGCCGCCTTCGGCTCAGGTCATGATCCTGGAGTCCCGGGATCGAGTCCCGCATCGGGCTCCCTGCTCGGCGAGGGGCCTGCTTCTCCCTCTGATCCTCCCCCCTCTCATGTGCTCTCTCTCTCTCATTCTCACTCTCTCAAATAAATAAATACATCTTTAAAAAAAATAAAAATAAAAATGGTTAAAATTTTATGTTATGCATATTTTGCCTCGATAAAAATCTTGTAGGTAGATGGGACCATCTGGGCAGAGCGTGAAGAGTGGAGAAGGCAGTAGGTAGAAGGCAGAAAGCTCGGGAACCAGCAGTGGGGGCAAAAGCAGTGGAGACAGAGAAGGAACGTTCTGGATAGACAAGGAAAAGCAGGAGAGGTCACTATCTTCTGAAGCCAGGGGAGTAGAGTTAGGAGGGAGTGTTGGAATGCTTGAGGTTGTCTGTTTTGCTTGTCTTTGAACCTGAACCTTCTCTTTGGCACCTTGATTTTGTGGGTCTGCTTTCCTCTGCTAGCTCCTGATGATGTCATTTCTGGTCAGTGCCCACGCTGGGCCCAGACTGCCTCAAGGCCGAATCCTGGCCTGGTCTCCTCTCTTGGCTCCTTCCATCCCCTCTCTGTAGCCAGTTCTATTTTGTCCATGGCTAACATCTTGGTGAGACAAATCTTTTTTAATTAAAAAGACATAAAATTGAGGACATTTCTTCTTGTGGCATTTTTTATTACTATTGATGTATATTGTTTTATCCTGAGACACAAAACCTACAAATTCTGAACTTAAAAATTAGGGGGGGGCACCTGGGTGCCTCAGTCATCTGGGGTACCTGAGCGTCTGATTTTTGATTTCGGCTCAGGTCATGATCTCAGGGTCGTGAGATTGAGTCCCATGTCAGGCTCTGCGTTCAGCGGGGGGGGTCTCCTTGAGATTCTCTCTCTTCCTCTCCCTCTGCTCCCCCCCCCAAATTAGGGGTGGTTAGTTTATGGCCAAAATTCCTTTAGTAACAAAAGAATTCATCTTTTGCTTACAGAACTTCAATGATTTGATAAGCCGTAGGTTAGGGAAACTGACAGCTAACATTTTATAAGGGGGGATGACAATGCAGTTACAAAGGGCGAGCAACATAGTTTTTCCAATGATGACGTTTGCACCCCCACATTTTGAAGAACCTAAAAGGGGATACCTTGATCTAAGTGATTTCTTCCCTTTTTTTTCTTTGTTTTTAGACATTGTCCAGCTGATCACCACACGAGCATCAGAGGGTTGCCCACAGAGAGAACACGGTTCTTAGCTCTACAAAGAAAAAGGCCTGAGAACTACGCTCTTTTATTGATTTTATTTCTCCAAGAGTTTTCTTACTAAGTGAATTAACCTTGCACCGTTAACTTGACATAATCTTAAGAAAATATATGAAATATGCTTTAGAAAAAATGACACGTGCTCTAACCAGCCATCTCGTTTGGCAATCATTTTCCAGAGCGGTTGTCCTTTCGGGATGGGGAGGTGGGGTTTTTTTTTTTTTTACATGTGAGTGATTAAATCTACACACAAGAGCTCCAAACTCTTGCTGACCTCCCTCTGCAACACCAGCTGGTGTTGGGAGACAGAGTACTGAGGCCAGCAGGGGTCTCTCTCCAAGGCTTGGGTCACCCCAAGCTGTTTGGCCATCAGTCCTGGAGTGTCACCCCAGAAGATCTGGGCAGTTCCCGAACATAAACTTAGCAGCTCCTCCCGTCATAACGGCAATCGTGGAACACATTGGAAGGGCTCAGATGCATCCCCTGGAGAAAGAGGGATTGGTTTTTTGTCCCCATTTGCAGACAGGGTCCCTTGAAAGCACACGATACTTCTACTGCAGGGTTCCACATTTCTAGGCTGTCACTCACTGGGCTTAGTACGATCTCTTCATCCTCGGGACATGGGGGACACTTCCCAGCCCCCAACTCAATAATGTGAGCGTCTGGATAGGTGTTCAATCCCCAAACTGCGGATTTAAAAGGAATAGCTGCTCCGTGGCTCTGGGGCGCGGCTCAGCAGTCCCAGCTCTATCCCTGAATCGACTCCGAAGAGGCAGGTGCTGTCCTGGGTCCGTTCTTAGCCACGCAGTCAAGCCAGTGTGAACGGGCCCGTATGGGGACCACCTACACCAGGCTGTTTCTCCGACTGTCCCACTCCAGCCCGTGTTATAAACTTGCCTGCTCAGCCAACAACTTTGGGAGACAAGGACTGGGTTTCTGATTGGCAGCCGCTGAGTTTCTGTCCTCAACTCTCCTCATAATGATTCTCCCTGGGGTTTCGGGACAACTGAAGGCTCCCCAAAGCCTCAGATACGGAACCCAGGAAGGAAGGGTGGTCTAGGCTGTGTGTATGTGTTCCAGTCATTTCCTTCCTTTGGAGTATTTGGTTTCACAGGTCACTAGCTGGTCCCAAGGCTCCTCACCCAGCAGACCAGGTGGTGTCCGGGCCTGGAGGAGGGCTGGCTGGCGTCGGAGGGAGGGGGTAGCAGGAGAGGTGGGCAGCAGCTGAGAGACCCCAAGCAGCAGTGTGTCTGGAGCTGTTCCCAGATTCGCTTGGGTCCAGTCGGGCTTCTGTATGATTCCATGAGAACTGTGGGAAGTAATGGCCTTGGGGAAGGGGCTGCTAAGACAGAGCAAAACTGGAGAGAACTTTCTGGGAAACTTCAAGGCTCCCAGGGATGCTGGACAGCTTTGTGTTTAAGAGTCATTGCAAGACGTGGAGAGGTTGCCCTGGGAAGGGGGGTGGTGGGAGAAGGTGAAAGAGGGGTTGGGTGAGGACTGGGGTGAGGGTAGCTGGGTAGGGGGCTCAGTCCTCAGTCTTTCTTTCTTCTTGGAGAATCTCACTCTGAACTTGGAGAGGCAGCAGAGTCCCCATCCTCAGGGTCCTGCCCGTTGGGGGAGATTGGCTGACCCCCTTTCACACGCTTCCACTTCATCCTTCGGTTCTGGAACCACACTTTGACCTGATGGAGGAAGCAAAGGAACCTGGTCATCAAGGGAGGTACAATTACCTCCCCATATTGATGCTCAAGACAGCAGTTTGCAGTTCTAGGGGCCCCAACTGGAACCTCCACTTGTCCTCTCCCGCTCCTCCAAAGGCACCAGGAATCAAGACAAAAGGGAGGACACATCAATCTGCCCAGAGACCTCTCTTGTGTGTCCCTGTCTTTGTGTCAGAAAGCCTGCCAGTCTGGGGACAGGGTCTAAAAGTCACTTGGCATTTGGCCCCACCTACTTTCACATGCCCCCCCCCCACCTCCGGTGTCAACACCTCCTCCCTCTAGCTTCTGTTACCCAGGGGTCTGGGAGCAGAGGATCACCAGCCTCATCCTGAGGCACGTTCGTAAAACACTTGTCAGTTTAGATAGCTCTGGTCTGCGTATTTTCTCATCTTAGCTTCAGCATTACCTGCAGGGTGGGGTCATGACCCTGGAGACCCAGAGAGGTCAGGAGACATGTCCCAGAGGTCACAGGGCTAGGAGGTGGTAGAGGCAGGATCTGAATCTTAGTTTTCTAAACCGAGCACTCTGGCAGAGCCCCTCATCAAGTGAAAGCTGCTATCAAATACCATTATTATTATAATACTTTACTCCATGTTAGAACGTGGGTGTGGGTGGAAGGCTCTGAGGGAAAACCCCAAACAAAAGGGCTAGGAAGTTTTTTTAGAGGTGTCCAGGAACCACCTGGGGAACTTACTAGAAATGCAGACTCCCAGTCCCACTTATTGTTACTGCAAAGTCACTCTCCAGAGTTATGGAATCTGCATTTGTTTTTTGAGTTTTAAATTTTATTTTTGAAGTAATCCATCTGGGGCTTGAATCCCAGCATGGGGCTTGAACTCATGACCCCCAGATCAAGAGTCGTCTGCTCCACTGACTGAGCCAGCCAGGCGCCCCTTCGAATCTGCATTTTAAACAAGGGCTGAGGTGATTCCAGTGCACGCTTAAGTTTGGGAATAACCAGATCAGAGGTTCCAACCCTGGCTGCACGTGAGAACCACCTAGGGGAACTCTGAAAAAATGCTGATGTCTGGACTCTATCCCAGACCAATGGAAACAGTCTCTAAAGCCAGACATCGATGTTGTTAAACTCTCTGCCAGTGATTCAGGTAGAGGCACAGTTGAGAACCACTGGACTGGGCAGAGGGAGAAGAGAAAGGAGAAGGTTCAGGGAGGAGTGGTGGGAAGGTTGGGGGATGAGAGAGCAGAGGACAGGAGGGATGGCCAGAGGAGCTCGGGCCCCCTGGACCGCACCTGCCGCTCGGAGAGGTCCAGGTTCACGGCGATCTCGTATCTCCGAAGCCGGGTCAGGTAGTTATGGTGCGCAAACTCGGCCTCGAGCTCCCGCAGCTGCTCCTTGGTGAAGGCTGTCCTCTCCTTGCGAGCCTTGCTGCTGCCCTCGGGCTTCCCTCGGCTCTCCTGGTTGTCTGGGGAGAAAGCATCCCAAACAGGAACATGTGAGCCGCAGAGGTTCCCTTTCCTTTGTCCTTAAGAGTCAGGGCAGCGCAGCCTTTCCTGTCTCTCTTGTTTTTATTTTTTATTTTATTTTCTATTAAAGATTGTATTTATTTATTTGAGAGAGAAAGAGCGCGCGCATGAGCATGGGCAGAGGGGAGGGGCAGAGGGAGAGGGAGAAGCAAACCTCCACCAAGCAGGGAGCCTGATGCGGGACTCGATCCCAGGACCCTGGGATCATGACATGAGCTGAAGGCAGATGCTTAACCAACTGAACCACCCAGGCGCCCCTGTCTCTCTTGTTTTTTAAAGGATATTGAGAAAGAACCCACATTGTCCCTTTATCATTCCTTCTAGTGCTTTAACCCCCTGAGAACTGGGAAGTCTTCTGGCTCCCGGCCTCAGGTGCATCCACCCCCCACCCCAAACTTTTTTTTTTTTAAGATTTTATTTATTTATTTGAGAGAGAGAGAGAGAGAGCATGAGCGGGGTGAGGGGAAGAGGGAGAAGCAGACTCCCTGCTGAGCAGGGAGCCCGCGATGCAGGGCTCGATCCCCGGACTCAATCCCAGCATTCCTGGATCGTGACTCCAGCGGAAGGCAGACGCTTAAGGGCTGAGCCACACAGGCGCCCCTACCCCAAACTTTTTTTTTTATCCCCAAAGCACAAGAAGCTGCTCTTGGCTGTTTAATGATTTCTACTATCCAACCTCCACTCCCCCCACCCCCCCATTTGACACTAGTAGTGGCTATAAGTTTGTGGGGCAAAGGTTCTAAAACTGAGGCTCTCTGTCCTCAGAGACATCACCATCACCTGAGAACTGTCAGAAATGCATATCCTGGGGCCTCATCCCAGACCTACTGAATCAGACACTCTGGGGGTGGGGCCCAGCAATAAGTCTTCAAGGTGATTGTGACACACGGTCAAGTTTACAAACCCCTGCTCTAAGACCTCACTTCTCAGAGGGTGCCATGGCCACAGCAGCAGGGCCCGGAAGTTGGTCAGACTTGCAGGATCTCAGGCCCTACCCATGACCTGCTGAATCAGAATCACATTTTAGCCGGATCCCCAGGGGAGTTGTGTGCACATGTAAATTGAGAAGTGCTGCTTTAAGCTTCTTTCCCACTTTGATAGCAGGAGGGGCCAAGTCTGGAAGGTTCTGGGCTCTGCATTAGACACAGCAGGAGCTCCATCATAGCGGCTAACAGGGATGCGGGGAGCAAACACCTTACATGTATCAGCCACTTAATCCTCCCAATAACTCAGCCAGGTGAGTTCTTGTATTAGCCCCACACTGTATAGACCAGAAAAGTAAACCCAGAGACATTTAAACAGTTGTTCAAGTTCATCTAGTTGGTCCAGCCAGTGACTGGCTGAGGCAGAAATCAAACCCAGTCAGTTTGACTCACATGCTGTTCAAATAAAATCCACGTAGGAAGGGGTTACAAACTGTAGAGTGCTGTACAAACGACAGGGACTATATGTTATTCCCCCCCCCGCCCCCCGCCCCCCAGCAAGCTGAGAGGCGGTTCTACCTTCACTTCAGTGGTGGAGCTGGGTGGGGAGGCAGCCCGATGGAGACCAATCACCCACACAATTAACAATGCCGGCCACGTGTCCGGTGAATGGCTACAGGCTCTAAAATTTGGAAGTCTTTCATTTCATTGTCCTTTTACAGACCCGAAGTCCCCGTGGCTCAGAGTTAGGTGCTTTACTGAAAGCGGTGCCCCCACCTTGTACCCCCTTAGGGACCTCATGCGTGCCCGGGTGTGTGTGGCGGGGAGTCCTGGTTGTGTGTGGGGGGGAGTCCCTGTTGTCGGGGGCTGGCCCGGAGGTGGGGGCTTTTAGACGGGTTTGTAGAGGGCAGGGAAGACCCCCCCCCCAAAGCAGCCACATTGCGGAGCGCGTGGGGAGGTGGAGACCCCTCGTCAGCCCTGGTCCAGTCGGGAACCTCAGCGCCCTGGTTTCCTTCTCCGCGGTTCCTTCTCCTGCTTTCCATTCAGTCCCTTGTGTTTCAGTTTCCAGGCCCTCCGTCCCCGCCGCGCAGGAGCCGGGAGAGGAGCTGGGGGTGGGGGGGAGGCGGCTCGGTGGGGGGGGGGGCATAGTAAAGCGATCGGGGGTGCCCCTGCGGGAACCGAGAAGGCGGAGGGGCGCCTTCCCCCCGGGGGCTCCCCTGTGCCCGGCTGCCCGGTCTCGGGGGTTGGCCACCAGCGGGGCGCGCCCGGAGGCAGGAAGGGGCGCGTCCCACAGGCTCGGGGGAAGGCTGGCCTAGACCCCTCCAGCGGGAGCGGGAGCGTGGGCTGGAGGGAAGGACGCGCAGCACACCCCCGGCCGGGGATCCCCAGCAGTGCGCCGGCCTTGGCTGCCACCGGCCCGGGAAGGGAGGGCAGCATTCCCGGAGCACATCCCGGCGGGCAGAGACCCAGCTCATTTCCTACCCACTCCTGTCCCAGGGCTCAGGGTGGTTCCCAGCCCTTCCCTTTCACGACTGAGGGGGTGTGAAACCAAGATGACTCGTGTCAAGGTTTGAGGCCTCCATCTCCTCGCTGGGGGCCTTTGAGGAAGTCACTTCACCTCTCTGGGCTTCAGTTGCCTCATCAAGAAATTGGAGAAAATAAAGCACCTACCTCCCAGGGTTACTGGGAAGCCTGGACCAGCTCTTGTGTGGGGAAAATGCTTTTAAAACTTTAAAGTGCTTGAACAAAAACATATTCTTCCAATTCTTCCACTCTGAGAGATGCCATCTGAGGGGCTGGGATAGTACCAGCTGTGGTTTCTTGAAGGCTTCTATGTTCTCAGATCCATTTAATCATTTCCACAAAACACCCCTAGGAGGAGCTACTATTATTGTCCCCTTTAGCATCATCAAGTGGAGTTGTGTGATAATTTGATTAATAGTGCTCTCTTTCTCCCCCCATGGATGAAACTGCTTTTTCTCACTTGTTCCTGTACCTGGTACGGTACTTGCTAAACATTTGCTAGATCCAACCCAGTATTCAGAGGAGGAAGCAGCCTCAGAAAGGCGCAGGAACTTGCCTGGTGTGTCCAGCAGTTTGGTGGGGGGCGGGGTGCAGAACTGAGATTGGGACCCAGATTCATCTGACTAGAGGTGCAGTGGTCAATGCTGGCCTCAGTTTCTCCATCTGCATCTGGCAGGCTCAGGACTGGACCCAGAGTCTCCCCACCCAGTGCTCCTGGAGGCCCTGTACTGGGTTGATGCCCTCACCCACACTCCCCTTCTCCTAGGCCTGTTTAGGTGCACACGGGCGCCTATGAAAGCCCAGAAAACAGCCCACTGTCTCCAGTCCTGCACCTTAGCCTCCCAAGAGAGATGAGGGGAGGTAGGGAGAGGACCCCTTTGAGCTGATCTTGGACTGGTTACTGGGCCCCTCCCTGCCCACCTCCTCACTGTCCCGAGGTAGGCGCTGGGCCTCAGGGTGGGAAAGAAGAGGAAATGGGACAGAGGAGCTGGGGCCGGGAAGTCAGTGAACCTGGGGCAACAACCGCGAAGGGGGTTGGGAGAGCAGCACCCAGAGGACACCTGCTCATCAGCTTCTCAGGGAAGAAGGCCTCTCATCACTGTTAGAAATGACAAGAGGGCCTGAAGTATGGGAGGCTAGCTATGGCAATCAAAGTGGAAGTTCTGGTTCTCTTTGTTCTGCAACATTGTCATCAACATAGAAAAAGAAGGATGAAGACAAACCGGGAGCCATTTCTGGCTGGGAGGGGGATGGGGGTTAGTCTGCCCGCTCACATGCACACTACCCTCAGGACAGTTTGATCCCAGGAGAGTACACCTTCGATGAGGTGCCTGCCTCCTACTCTGGGCCTCAGTTTCCTCATGGGGAGGAGCACGGGATTGGACTGGTGTCAGAGTCCTTTCCCAGTATGCAGCCCTGACATCTCTTCTCCTCTTCCTACTCTCTCTCCTGTTAAGAACCCCTGGCCTTGAAATTGAGGCCCCCTCCGGTTGCAAATATTCTTGTCTGGGCTCCTAGTTCCTCCCTTCAGTCAGATCTGGAGTCTTGCTGTGTGCTCTGTCCCCAGGCCCTCCCCGGCCTTCCCAAGGTCTTCAGCTCACAGGTCAGGGCTATGCCAGGGAGTTTCTGTCTCCCGCTGATGTGCAAAGCTCCCCACCCCGAGCCAAATGGAGGAGATGTGTCTGAGGAGCCCTTGGAGAATCTGGGCCTGAGCAGGCTCCAAGAAAGAGCTCTCTGACCTTGGGCAAGTGTCTCACGTTCTCTGAACTTCAGTTTCCTCCTTTGCAAAACAAGAACAGCTACATGCCCCATGCTCGGAAGGCTGCCGAGAAGGTAAAATGCTGCGGATACCGCGTGTTAACCCCGAGCACCGTGCCCGGCGCACTGGTGACCCTCCGTCCGAAAGAACCGTAAGCACAGGTTCCCCTGGAGATATCACTGCAGAGGTGATTCACGGTGGAGGTTCGAGAAGACGTTTGTCAAGCTAGCACGTCTCCAGAGCTGTGTGAAAGGGATGCCTTCCCAGCGTCTGGCCTTTTAACTGTTTTCCCTTCTCCGCTACTTCTCTGCGTCTCTGCTTGGGTCTGTGTCTGGTCACTGTTATGTCAGCCTTCCAGCGGAGGTGTGAGTCCAGGCACAGGCACTAGCACGGACCAGAGTCACATCTCAGGCGTCCTGGCCCTGCTTCTCTTTCAGGGGCAGGGGTTCAGAGGGAGGAGGCTGGTGCTCAGCAGGCTGCCTTCTGGGGCTCAGGAGGAGCAGCTCCGTCCTGCCCCAGCCCCTGCGCGGGACCCTCCGAGCCAGAGCCGGCTGGCTGGCCGGCCGGGCCGTGTCAGGGCCGTCGTGCCCAGAGCAATGCAAACAGGATGTATGTGTGATTGCGGTCTGCACCGGGAGCTTTTACACCATCCAAGGTAAATTATTTCACAAAAAGCTGTCAGTTTTGGCAGGCCTTCCTAAAGTTAGCAGACAGCTTTATCGGAGCCACAAGG